ACTTCTTTACAGTGTGTCAGTTTTACGAGTAGTCAAACTATATCTAAAGAAGCCAATCCTGGACTAATTCTGGGCCAATCACCAATATTGAATTCCAGAGTAGAGTTATTAGAGACTAATTTAATTCATTAGCCACCTCTCGACATCTGCCATGATGTCAACAATTGCAAACACCTGGTCCATTGCTCTTCAATCTGTAGATGCTACCTCTAAGCTGTAAAACTTTTCCTCAGAGTGTTGTCATTAGCGCTCTCACTGTGGTGACACCAGTGGCACTGAAATCATAGGGCGCTGTGTTTTTATAGGTCAGAGGAAAGGAATTCCACCCACATCGATGATTCTACACCTCTAGATGTTCAAAGCCAACATTTGGTGCCAGTACAGACCATTGTGTGTTCTTTATGTTACAGAGTGCAAAGTGAGTTTAGTAGTTGGAGTAGCGTATGGACATGTAGGACATCTGGCTTTACTCTTATCCAAACACAAACCTCCAGTTAATGTTTGACCGTTGCCTGTTTTTTGACCACAGCCTTTCACGGGTTGGTTTTTCATATCGTGATGACGTCGGGCTGAGCATGCAGCAGACAAACCGTATCACGGTGTTGGTTCATTGGTGTGAGCCTTGCTGTAATGCCTTAAATCCTCACTGGATGACTTCATCACTCATCGCTAGATCCTTGTCTCATTCAAACAGAGTGGGCACCAGAAATTCAATGTGTACTTCACACGAACAGGAAGAGGAGATGGATTTCCCGCATTATCCTATCTCAGTCTCTTCGACATTCTGAATGAGACTTTGTGTGCTTAGGAAGGATTGTTTTCTGTGGCAGAAGCGACAACTTGCTCGTATCAATACGCATCACTGGCTGAACAAAAGCATGGATGCAATTAGTCACAAATGCTGGGCACTGCAGCCCACCCTGAGCAAGGAGATCATCCTAACAGGCAGAAAATAAGCTTTAGATGGTTCTTACAAAGAGTTGCAAAATCAAATTTAACACCGCATTTGTTAGCAATTACCCTCTTATTCTACTTATTTAAATGGCAGCTGGTTTTGCGGGACCCTTTGGTTTGACTCTTGTTCCAGTGTTTTCTTTGACAAGACAAGAGATGTGAGGATTTGGCGACGATAAAACAATTTGATGTTATGCTGCAGAGCAAGTAATGAAGAGAGCCATCTGTATAGCAATTGTTGTGTCGGTACAGCGACATCAGGTCGCCTTTGTACTACAATTACTTTCCTTATTACTGGTTTATACTCAGGATTACCACACACAAACAGCATCATCACAGTACCATCATGTAGGAAAGGAGAGGAATGACAGCAGTCAGGAATGAAGCCCGTTCCTCAGTGCTGACAGCATTTACCGATGCACCCCAACCGCTTGACCATTTGGTTGCTCCAAATTATACTTAACTCTGTCCAGGACTTTGATGTTTTCATACGTTGAAGGTCTTTTGGGTTCCATTGGACCCCAAGAAAGAATGTGTGCAAAATAAACAATTTCAACAATTTCCCTGAGGTACCCTACCAAAGGATTAGTAAAGTTCAATCTAATCTAATCCAGTATTTGTTGGTATTCATTATAGACTTTTATACTGTGTTAAATACATTTTCTGATAAGTTGACGTGTTTTTGGTTCCAAATGCATGACAAATGTCCCTCTTTTTATATAAAAAAAAAATAAAAAAAAATCTTCAATAATAAAAAACCAATACTTGTCACCTAAACCAGATGGCCTGGGGTCCAAAAGACCCAAAAAGTCCTGAATAGGATTAATTTTGTGGACAGCATAGTTTTTTGGTATCATAATAATAATAACAATAATAATAAACTTTATTTATATAGCACTTTTCAACACAAAGTGCTGTACAGATTCAAAGAGAAGTGTAAGGAAAACAACATTAAACTACATTAAAAGAAGTAAAAAGCAAAAAATACATAAATAAATTTTAAAAATGTTGCCGTCAAAGTTGTTTGAGCTGATTTTGGACAATTGCAATGCGCTGAATCCAAATATTACATTGGTTTTGCTCAATGAGGTCCAAATTTTGATTTGATGAATCATGCAATTTGCTTGTATTTACCTTTACAGATGTTTACGTTCATCAACTTTTGGATCATTTAGCTTCTGAAAAGGATTAGAAAATGATTTTTTTCCTCTAAAATCCGATTTCATATGAGAAATACTAAAATAAATCAATCGCTAATGTCAAAAAATGTAATCGATTTAGTGGCAAAATTGATTTTTTTAAAAATCGAGTTGGCATAAAAACCTGACCTGATACACAAAAGCAGATGTCTTTCTTGGAATCAGCTTTGCAAAAATGTCCTAAATCAGTTAAAAAATCCAAGACACCTTCAACAAAAAAAAATAATTGTAACCCAGTGTAATAAATGGCACCATAGCTGATGCTGTGTGCTAATTATGGTGAATAGACCAAATTAGTAATAAATGAATTATTCATCTGGTTNAATATAATTGAATTCATGCAATGACTCCAAACGCTCAGCATCTGACTTTAGCGTTATCCTATTTAGGCCGCATTCACCCAAATGAGCAACAATGATCGAGTTCATTTCCAGTTTCCTTAAATTTGACTTTAAAAAGGTTGAGTGACCAACAAACTGATGTGCTTTGTTTTTGCTCTGTTTTTGAAGGTGTGGTTTAGCAATCGAAGGGCCAGGTGGCGAAAACAAGCTGGAGCCAGTCAGCTAGCAGCATTCAACCACCTTCTGCCGGGTGGATTTCCTCCGACAGGAATGCCGACACTTCCTACGTACCAGCTGCCCGAGTCCAGCTACCCGACCAACTCTCTGTCCCAAGGTAAGGCAGCTGTCACGCTTTTAAATACAAAGGTTACATGGAGTTGCCAACAGATACTGGTGGACCATGGGTTGATTTGGTCCTCCTCTTCCCCCTAAAAGTAATTAATGAAGGAAGCTTTTAGACCTGTAACTCTGTTCTGTTTGACCAAAAAGCAAAAAATTGTGTCCTAATCAAGTTTTTCTGGCCTCGATCCTGAGCTAGCACACGTAAAGTGAAGCTTGTGATCAAATTCATGTTAAACTAAGTCTACAGTACCCCTACATGATTTGGTCTTCCCCCTGCAACATATACAGTGTCATACAGTACGGTGTATTGGTAAGTGGTCTGCACTTACATAGCGCTTTTATCCAAAGCACTTTACAATGTTCACCCATTCACACACATTCATACACCAATGGTGACAGAGCAGCCATGCAAAGTGCTGCCTGCCATTGGGAGCAACTTCAGGTTCAGTGTCTTGCCCAACTGGACACTTCAACTGTGGGGTTGATCGAACCACCAACCTTACAATTAGAGGACAACCCGCTCTACCACCTGAGCCACAGCCGCCCACATATTGGGTTGTTTATCTGGCAGTGAGGCTTCAGTTTGCATCAAACTTAATACTTTCACCTCATTCTCACTTTCTATGTGTACAGAAGAAGCTAGAAATGCAAAGGTCCTCTCTAGAGCCACTGGTTGTTTTTTTTGTTCTGGTCAACTGTAAAGACAGATTCCAACGAAGAGGAACTGCTCCATCCTTAGATGCAAAGAACTGATTCTATAGTAACAAAAACAGTTAAAATAATGCATCCATCCATTATCTATACACCGCTTCATCCTCACTAGGGTGGTGGGGGGCTGGAGTCTATCCCAGCTGACTCAGGGTGAAGGCAGGTTCACCTGGACAGGTAACCAGTCTATCACAGGGCTACACTTAGAGACAGACAACCAAGCACACTCACATTCACACCTACGGACAATTTACAATCACCAATTAACCTCAACATGTTTGTGGACTGTGGGAGGAAGCCGGAGAACCCGGAGAGAACCCACGCTGCACGGGGAGAACATGCAGAAAGATCCCGGGTGTCCTCACCGGGACGCGAACCGGCGACCTTCTAGCTGCGAGGTGACGGTCCTTACCACCGAGCCACCTTATAGCCCTAATTAAAGCATAACTGTGAAAATTACTGGTCCATTTCTCTCAGTAGAGTCTTCTAAGCCATCAGTCCTCTTTGCTAGCACGCCTCCTGCCTCCCTACACCGTCACCAGATGCTATGAGTGTTCACAGTTCTGTCCAGGATGTGTTCAGTTTTGTTTCAACTGGTACAAGAGAGAAACTGTTGGCCTAGTTATTGTCCTATTTACATACAAGAAGGAACAGGTTGTTTTTTTAATAGAGTGCTTGTAGGTTCTCAGCCATGTGCTTTTGTGTTGCATTCAGACGGTGGTGGTACAGTTCACCGACCCCAGCCTTTACCTCCATCCACCATGCACCAGGGTGGTCTGTCCAGCCCTGACAACAGCTCTGCCTACGGTCTGGCCTCCAACCGGCACGGGTTCTCCAGCTACTCCGACACATTCATGAGCTCTGCAGCGCCGAGCAACCATGTCAACCCTGTCAGCAATGGAATTTCCCCACAGGTAAGACCTGCTGTGACATTTGTGCATGATATTGTGTGCTCGTGTTAACCTAGACTGAGTCATGAATCAAGTAAAATAGATAGAACTAATCTATTTGTGTTGGAGTGAAAACAGATTCATACAAAATGAACGTGCCTCAGTGATTGTAGTATAAATACATCAGTATCAGGAAGGTCCAGTCACTAATGAATCAGGACTCCTGGATAGAACTACACCATGAAGACCAAACAACACTCCAAGTAACTCCATGATAAGGTTATTAAAAGGTATACGTTAGGGGATGTAAACAAGAAAATTTCCAAGACACTGACTGTTCGTTTGAGTAAGATTAAATCCGTCATTAAGAAATGAAGGGAATGTGGCACATGTGTAAATCTGCCTCGAGCAGGTCGCCTCTAAAACTGCGTGACTGTGCAAGAAAGAGACCAGTGAGGGAGGCCACCAAGACACCTATGACTCCTCTGAAGGAATTACAAGCTTTAGCAGCTGAGATGGGAGAGACTGTACACGAACCAACTGTTGCCCAGATTACTCACAGCTTTACAGGAGAAAGCCGCTGTTGAAGAAAGCTCATATTACAGCTTGAATAGAGTTCACTGGAAGGCATGTGGGAGACTCTGGAGTCAAAAGGAAGAAGGTTCTTTGGTCTGATGAGAAACTGAGCCCTTTGTCCATCAGACTAGATGTTATGTTTGGCAGAAATGCCATGACAGACACACCGTTCCCACCGTGACGTATGACGGCAGCATCACAGCGGAGAGATGCATCTCAGCAGCAGGGCCTTGGAGGCTTGTAAGGTAGAGGGTACATTAAACGCAGCAAAGCATATTGAAATCCTGGAGGACAACCTGATGCAAGAGAACTATGACTGGGAAGAAGATTTGTCTTCCAGCAAAGAACCAAAACATGTAAGAAAAGCTGCAGAGAGTTTCCTCCTAGACATCAAGGTGAATGTTGTTGAGTGGCCAAGTCAGAGCCTGGACCTCATTCTAAACGAGGATTTTGTTGCTGGACTTGAAAAGTGTGTTTTACTCACAATCCTCATGCAACCTGACTAAGCTTTAGCTTAAGCTTAAGCTTTGCAAATAAGAATGGCTAAGAAGTGTGTCCAGATGTGCAGGACTGACGGAGACCTGTCCACACAGGCTCAATGCTGTCGCTGCATTCAAAGGTGCATCGACTAAGTACTGACTGGAAGAGGGCGAATACTTTTGCACTGATTTAGTGTAGGTTTTACATTTTTATATAACGTCCATGTGGATATTTATTTTTTTTAACTCTTTATTTTAGATTTTTTTTTGTACTTTTGACTGTGGTAATGCATTGGCTTAACATTTGGTAAAGGTGTATATTATGGGGGGATGAAGCAATTGAAATCGTAGCTATATAATGCATCAGTAATACAGTGTGTATAGAAGATAAAATTACACTCATGGCCGAGGCCTAAATCAAATCATACAGAATCTAAGACCTTAACTAAAGTAGGCACCAGCAGAGTGCAGGCAGGAGGAGAGTTAGGAGCTAACAAGTAGTTGCAGGAGCATGATAAGAAACACCAGTAAACAGCTGATCAACAGGGCTGCAACACTTAGATGATGGTGTTTGAGGGGACGCTGGTCTGGCTAAGGGTCTGGGTCTGGAATCTGGAGCCAGGCTGTGTCGGGCTGGGCTGAGTAGGAGGAAGTAGTCCGGAGCTAAAGCACGGCGGCCAACAGGGGCAGGCAGATCTGTCCTGATCCACAGGAGTGTGAGCTGGAGTGGGTCAGAGTGTGTCCTCAGCTGGAGCAGGATGGAGGACGAGGCAGGCGGCTGGTCAGGGAGCTGGTGGTAGAGCAAGGAGATGTTAGTGAAGGTCAACGGTGGAGTTAGCAGCATGAGCAACGAGACACTGTCCTTCAGTTTTTGGTAAACAGATGTTGCTGTGAGTGCAGGCTGCTTCAGTGTGTTGTTCCTCATACACAAATACTGTCCTCTGCAGTGCTTGTGCGTTGCGTCTAGTTTAATTCTGGTTGGACCAAATAAACCTTTGTGGCTACATAGAGTTCCTTGAACACATCAGCTTTTTGGTATTTATACACAAGGTCTCTGATGTTTCATCTCCAATGGTTTGGCATGAATACTTCTTTACAGTGTGTCAGTTTTACTAGTAATCAAACTATATCTAAAGAAGCCAATCCTGGACTAATTCTGGGCCAATCACCAATATTGAATTCCAGAGTAGAGTTATTAGAGACTAATTTAATTCATTAGCCACCTCTCGACATCTGCCATGATGTCAACAATTGCAAACACCTGGTCCATTGCTCTTCAATCTGTAGATGCTACCTCTAAGCTGTAAAACTTTTCCTCAGAGTGTTGTCATTAGCGCTCTCACTGTGGTGACACCAGTGGCACTGAAATCATAGGGCGCTGTGTTTTTATAGGTCAGAGGAAAGGAATTCCACCCACATCGATGATTCTACACCTCTAGATGTTCAAAGCCAACATTTGGTGCCAGTACAGACCATTGTGTGTTCTTTATGTTACAGAGTGCAAAGTGAGTTTAGTAGTTGGAGTAGCGTATGGACATGTAGGACATCTGGCTTTACTCTTATCCAAACACAAACCTCCAGTTAATGTTTGACCGTTGCCTGTTTTTTGACCACAGCCTTTCACGGGTTGGTTTTTCATATCGTGATGACGTCGGGCTGAGCATGCAGCAGACAAACCGTATCACGGTGTTGGTTCATTGGTGTGAGCCTTGCTGTAATGCCTTAAATCCTCACTGGATGACTTCATCACTCATCGCTAGATCCTTGTCTCATTCAAACAGAGTGGGCACCAGAAATTCAATGTGTACTTCACACGAACAGGAAGAGGAGATGGATTTCCCGCATTATCCTATCTCAGTCTCTTCGACATTCTGAATGAGACTTTGTGTGCTTAGGAAGGATTGTTTTCTGTGGCAGAAGCGGCAACTTGCTCGTATCAATACGCATCACTGGCTGAACAAAAGCATGGATGCAATTAGTCACAAATGCTGGGCACTGCAGCCCACCCTGAGCAAGGAGATCATCCTAACAGGCAGAAAATAAGCTTTAGATGGTTCTTACAAAGAGTTGCAAAATCAAATTTAACACCGCATTTGTTAGCAATTACCCTCTTATTCTACTTATTTAAATGGCAGCTGGTTTTGCGGGACCCTTTGGTTTGACTCTTGTTCCAGTGTTTTCTTTGACAAGACAAGAGATGTGAGGATTTGGCGACGATAAAACAATTTGATGTTATGCTGCAGAGCAAGTAATGAAGAGAGCCATCTGTATAGCATTTGTTGTGTTGGTACAGCGACATCAGGTCGCCTTTGTACTACAATTACTTTCCTTATTACTGGTTTATACTCAGGATTACCACACACAAACAGCATCATCACAGTACCATCATGTAGGAAAGGAGAGGAATG